GACGGTTATTACTTATTTAATTATACGTTTCTGGAATGTGCTTTAATTTAAATATTTCAATGTATACTTTCATAATTAGTCTTTCTACCCACTCAGACATGCTGAAAGGAGAGCATACAATGGCGTCGTAGCTTTAAGCCTTTCAGATTAATCGTTTCGTTCATTGTGTATAGTTGTTTATATAAAGCGGTATTGTGCGTAGGCTATTCAACATAAAATACTATAACATGTAAATACAACATATTTTCTAAGTCTTATAAATATATTTAACTATCTATTGAAATAACCCAAGTTGCAATTTAGTTGAGAAACTTGGTTTTGATATCCGTGGTGAGCACAACACAGATAGCCCATTGTGTAAGGAACGTTTTTAAAGTAACTACATCCTGGGTGTTTACTTAGTGAATGTGCGTGAATATTACGCAACTTTTTTTCACTTGTGATATAATTATTAGTTGTAAACCAGATAACGTGCGTGTTATTTTTTTGTTGTTGTTAATTTCTTATGTATTTTTTTTTACCAAGTAACATTTGAAATTAAAATTTAAACGTAAATGTTAACTATTCATTATTTACTTTTACATATAAAGTACTATATAATTATTAGTTGTAAACCAGATAACGTGCGTGTTATTTTTTTGTTGTTGTTAATTTCTTATGTATTTTTTTTTTACCAAGTAACATTTGAAATTAAAAATTTAAACGTAAATGTTAACTATTCATTATTCGCTTTTACATATAAAGTACTATCCATTTTTTCAGATAACCTTTGTGTAGTTTGTCGCGAAAATTATAAATACAAATAATTAGTAATTTATTTTATTTGTAATTTTTAACATACAAAAGGGTTAATGACAAGAATATAGCCCTTGAGTGATCGAAAAACCGAAAAACAACATTTAGTTAATCTACATGTCAGTCTACCTTCCCGAGTGTTTGTCAATCAGAAGAGCATAGAAAATCGTTTACCAAGTAATTCGCGACCAAGACTTGCTGCCATCTTATCATTAAAAGCCTGCTTAATATTTTAATTCTCAACTGGTGGGGCGCGAAGATCTGAATGATGGTGTAATAAATTCGAATAATAATAATTTTGAAAAATATGATATATTGCAAAATAAATGTTATTACTTTTTAACCGCGCTTTTAACTAGAGAAACAATCAGGGAGAAGTTTGCTTGGGGGGGGGGCAAATATAAACAAATTATTGTGGGGTGTGAGTAAAAATAAAAAGATTGAGAAATCCGGGTGTAGTGTAACATTTATAGTTCTATCTATAACCGCAGGGCGATAAGAATCCTATATTCAACATGATTATATCTTAAAACTACCTGTCCTAGGAGAACCAACTTTCACCACAAGCACGGCCCTGCATGGCCAGGTGGTTAGGGAGCTCGACTCGCAATCTGCGGGTCGCGGATTCGAATTCTCGTCCCACCAAACATGCTCGCCCTTTCAGCCGTGAGAGCGTTATAATGTAACAGTCAATCCCACTATTCGTTGGTAAAAGAGTAGCCCAAGAGTTGGCGGTGGGTTGTGATGACTAGCTGCCTTCCCTCTAGTCTTACACTGCTAAATTAGGGATGGCTAGCGCAGTTAGCCCTCGTGTAGCTTTGCACGAAGTTCAAAACAAACAAACAAACACCACAAGCACACTGAAAATCGTAAGTTTTGTTACAAGAAAGTTTAAACTGAGGACACGCCTAAATCGTTTTTTTCTCATTTTAACATCGCCTTTATATTACTTATTTTTCCCTTTCTTCAACAAAAGTGGTTAAAATAAAAACTAGTGACAGCGTACAGGATATTGCGAGGATCAGAGAACACTGTCCGGAACAGGTGATGCTTGCATTGAGTTCCTTTAATACTGTGCTGATTTAGAATGACGGAAAAATATTGAACACATTCTGTGACAATTTTTGGACCTTATTATTCTCACTGTGCCTCTGGTGAAATTTTGTTCCATTAGGATATGTAGTTTTTAAGATATAATCGTTTTAAAATTGGAGCTTTCAAGAAAAGTGGGGCATAAAACAGACTTCTAGATTAATTTTAAAGTTCTTTTGAACAGTTAATTTTTTGTGATTATAACATGTTCCTCCTGACCTGATTCCCAAAGAAAACATTTTCACAAAAAGATTAAAATAAATATAGGTGTTAATTCGAATATAAGCAGGAACTTTTCTAAAATTCAAAACCTATTATTCCACCTTTTATACGTTTTATATGCTGTACTGGCAACTATAGATCCTTTAAATTTCTAAAATATTCTTAGTTGAGAGGCTTTTCAGTAAATTCACAATTATTAAAAAATAATAATAATAACGTGAAGAGTAGCAGTATTGGATAACTACGTTCTGAGTGCTGCTTGCGAACTAATGTTTGTTGTTTGCAGTATTAAATAACAGTACTGTTATCCAACATTTCAAACAACAAACATTAGTTCACAGGCAGCTCTCAGAACGTAGTTATCCAATATTGCAAATAACAGTACGTTCTGAGACATGCCTGTGAACTACTGTTTATTGCTTACAGTATTTGGATAACGGTACGTTCTGAGTGCTGCCTGCGAACTAACGTTTGTTGTTTGCAGAAGTGGAAAACAGTGAGTTCTGAGACCTGCCTGTGAACTAATGTTTATTGCTTACAGTATTTGGATAACGGTACGTTCTGAGTGCTGCCTGCGAACTAACGTTTGTTGTTTGCAGAAGTGGAAAACAGTGAGTTCTGAGACCTGCCTGTGAACTAGTTTTTGTTGTTTGCAATGTTGGATAATAGTACGTTTTGAGATCTTCCTGCAAAGCGTACTATGTTTGTTTTTAAGCTCAAAGCTACACAATGGTCTATCTGTTCTTTGCCTATCTCAGGTATCGAAACCCGATTTTTAGCGTTATAAACTCCCAGGATTACCGCTGAGACACCGGGTGCGGGAAAAAAATCAATATTGATATTAGCATGCCGGATTGTAGATCCGATGGTCTTCGATTCACATCCTGTTTAAGTCTTGCTTTTTACTTTGGGGCCGTCGGTGCGTTATAAGAGTAACGGTCAAATGCTACTTTTCAGTCAAACAAGACTATTCCAAGAATTGGCATTGGGTAATGTTGACAAGCTCCCCTTTTCTCTAATCTATCACTTCAAAATTAAGTACAGTTAAGTTCAAATAGCCTTTGTATACCTTGCGTGAAAATTGTAAACAGTCAATCGTGATCGGGAAGTTACATATTTTCTTCAGAGAGGAACCGCTCTCCAGTGGCACAGCAGTATGTTTGCGGACTTACAACGCTAGAAACCGGGTTTCGATACCAGTGGTAGACAGAGCATAGATAGCCCATTGTGTAGCTTTGTGCTTAATTACAAACAAACAGAGGTGAACCTGAAAAATTATTTATTTCTTCAGTTATGGTCATTGGAAAAGTTATATTCCTTTTTCAGTGATGGCCAGGAAGGCAGGCTTACCTGATTTCTTCTAGGATGAATTGGAAAAATTGCCTTTTTATCCGTTTGTGACCGAGGAGGTTTATTTTCTTTCTTCATTGATGACCAGGAAGATTTACCTTCTTTCTTCATTTACGACTGAAAAGCTTTTCTCTTCATTAATGACGAGGAAGGGTCACCTTCTTTCTTCAGCGGTGCCCAGGAAAGACTACCTTGTTTTTCAGGAATTGGCTATGAAGGTTTTACTTTCCTTCTTGAGGAATGCACTAGAAAGGTCAACCCATGAAGTTACTAAGGTTCGCGGGTTACTTTAATTGTGGTTTACCTGCTACTGTGATCAGACGTACTTCCAAATATCCCGAAATTGTGTCGAAGTAATTTTTTGAAGAACGAATAAAATGAAAGTTTAATTAATGTAGATATACGTGAGGCATATATTTAGAAGCTCCCAGAACTTGCATTTTAACTAGAATTATCAGCAGAAAAATGGCATTATTGCATGCCATGCTTCTTCCCGTGCAGAAATTCATTTGCTTCATCAGTGCGTTTCTATCTTTCTCAACAATAAAATGTCATTTCCTGAGCGCCAGAATATAGAAATTAATCTTACTACATTTCCTGAATAAAGATGAGTTTCGCTTTGATGCAAAAAGACGTCTCAGTAGCGGAAGCAATTATTGATGGGATTAACTTTCTTTTCATGTGCTGTGCAATGTTGATTCTAAGCTGAGCGTAGCCATCACAAAATAGCGTTCTGAGCTTGTTATATGCATTCCATATTTTTCAATCTGGAGAAAAGCTTTTCATTTTAATTCTTCCCGACTTTAGTGAAGTAAACCAACACATTGCTACAGTATTTCGTTTTTGTGTTTACAGGTAGCAAAGCTGCAACAGCTTACTCTAAATTTAATTTGTATTTTAAAACAAGCTGATTAAAGTGGCTAATACGGGGCTGAAGCACGTTTCGTTGTTTAGGAAATCATGAAAGGGCTACGTCAGGGTTAAATAATAGACGGCTTAGCACAGTGTTTTCTTTTCCTGATTAAATTAAACGTGCTAGTGAAAAACATTTTGTCAAAAAAAAAATCGCATTTCGTACTCAGCTGTATAGCATAAAATATTAAAGATTGGAAGCAACTTTCAAAACGGATTACGTACAAGAAAAACGTTTTTCAATGAAACAAAGCCAGAGACAAATATGTAGTTATGTCCCAAACTTTCTACGTAATATATGTAAGCCAAATATTTAATACGTGTGAGCTAAGGCAGACTAATAACTTAATAATTCTAAGCAAAAAGCTGCTAAAACAAGCCATTTTGTTCTGTTTAGTTACTGTTCGTGCATGCTTGTATATGCATGGAAATAATTATTTTTGAACTTTGCCAAGCCACTAACTTTTGTATACATCTTTGGGAACTCGTGGTCATAGCATAAATGCAAGTTGTAGTATATGCATAAAACTTTCCACTGTATAACCTTTTGAAGGTAGTGATTTTCATTGTATCCCAAGTAAATATAGGATATGATAAAGGTTCTAGGTTTGTTGTTTATTTCGTTATAGTTTATTGAGAAGTTCCAGGAAGTAAAGGAAGCAACGAGACAAGCAGCAGCTCATCAGAAATCCCACCAGGCTCAAGTCAATGGTAGTAGCATCACTCCATCTACTTCTGGGAGTGGTTCCCCCAGCAGCACCAGGAGTCAAGCTAAACAACAACCAGCTCCTCCTGAGAAGAAACCAACTGAAGAACAGCCTGTAAATAGTGTAACCAACCAAATAGATCAGATTAGTCTCTCTTCATCTTACTCTGCTAGCACACAGAATGAGATAAATAGTCTCAAGTCTCCTCTTGTTCCTCATCAGCGAAGTCAAAGCCTCTCTCGTCTCCAATCTGGAAAGGTATGTTTGCACAATGAAATACCTGATGGTATGTAATTTGTTATTTTGTTGCTATACACATAGATCTCCATATTTGCGATTTTTATCCTGTTATTATTATTTTTCAAATCTTTATGTACATGGTTCTCATCTGCGTACACGTATTTTAATTATGGACGGAATTGTTTTCCACAACTTTGGTACTGTTACTTGTCATCTTTCTTCTAATTTGTCTTCAACCATCTTAACAAACATTGCTAAGAGAAAATCAATGAAGGCAAGGTCCATGACATTGGATGATTAATTAAACTGAAACTATATCTGAGTTTAAACCTCATGCACACATGTTTCCTTAAAGCTCCATCAATTAGCCCTCCTGACCTTGTGTTCCATTAAAATAATGAATCTTTTTGAACTTCATGCATGGTTATTCAGAACTTCAACTCTATCACAAAATATTAATAACTTTGGAATATAGGTTATGGTGATGAACATAAGGGCCTGATTCAATTAATTGCTTTACTTGTGAAAAGATACCCTAATTCTATGTTGTAGTTAATAAATAGTATGATGTGAAGTAGTTTTATTATGTTATAATTAGTAATCAGTCCTTTTTTTACACATTTTTGTTCAATTGTTTATACTGAACAACTTACATTAGAGTAGTTTCTGTAAAGAAAAACAAAAGTTTAGATTAAAGTTATTTTTGTATGAAATGCCATTGTTTCGTTTGACTCAAATAATTGTTATTATTGTAAATAAAACAATTTTTGGTGGTATCAAAACAAGAACAATTCTTATTTTTTTAATTACGAAAATAAATTATGGGTTTTTGTAATTTTACGTCCTTTACAGTAATGCAATGTTACTTGATGACCTTTGGTTAAAAGCTAAACAAGTGTTAATCTTTCCAAATAATGAATTATAAGAAAATTGTCAATGTAAATAATTCTTTTGCTAAAATGTATTATTTTATTGAAGACTCCGGGCAGCCCAAAACATCACCACTTGAAGGAGAAATATTCAGTTCCAAGTCTCCCACAATCAGCTGTTGAAGCTCAACTGAAGTATGAGAATGATCGATTAAAATTAGCATTAGCACAGAGGTAAGAAACAAGCCAGTCACTTCAGATAGATCAATACAAGTAATTACCGAAGTATGTGTACACACAGACATACACTTAAACAGGAGAAAAAAACTTATTGACTTGTACTTTAGAGGGTTAAATTACTGTGAAGATAAGTAATTAATTAGAGTCTACTACAGAAGTTGGTACTTATTCAAATTCCCGTTGAGTTCATGAAGTTTGGAATATGGTGTTTATCTTTCAAAATTACAGCCCAATAATAATTACAAGTTTTTAATAAAATGTAAAAACAAGAAATAGTCTTAGTATGGCTTTGTGCCAATTATTAATTAAAAGTTACTTCTATGTATATATTTGTTACAGCTACAAAACTGTTTTCATTATTTATTATCACAGCTGCTATTATTTGCCTATAAATAATTAGAATAGAAAACAAGTACAACTGTTACATGATTTTAAAGTTGAAAAATTATGATTTTTGTTCAACATCTTCCACTTAACTGTTTTATAACTAAACTGCTTGTGGGTCCATATCTTTGTTGATTACTTGGTTTCTGATAGTTTACGAGTCACACGTGCATGTAAAACAAATACCCCGAATATTGTAATATTAATCCCACTAATTATTGCTGAGGTACCTGATGTAATTAAAAATGAAAATGAGCAATTTCACTCAATTGTTTTTATGTGTTATTTTATGTGCTGTAAAAGACAAAAACAAAATATGTTCAACATAGTGCAACATGAGGACCCCATTAATAGTGAATGACATAAAAACAGGTTGGTAATTTGAGGATCAGTTCAGCACTTGTAATATATTTATTTATTTTAGTATTAACTATCAAAAGCTATTATTAGTAGTCTTTCTTTCCAATTAACGTAATTCATTCCAAGTCTATTTTTGGAATGTAGGTTGTTTTTCAACAACTTGTAAAATATTTTAATGTGTCTTGTTACGTA